GCTCTGCGGAGGCTGGGAATAGCATCCCTTACGCAACCGCAGCGACGATATTGAAAACTTTGATGGAAAACTTGAAGCAAAACTTTTGCGAAATAAATAAAGAACGCAGATTCGTAACATTTTGAATAACGACTTCCCTTACAACTGTGTAGCATAGTGTAATTGAAATAAATTCAATAATTAGGGAGCTTAAGTGTGTAAAACTAAGACAATATTTTTGATTTGTTATTTTTTATTTTAATAGTAAAAAATTCAAAATTTTTCTTAAAAATACAATATTTTTTATTTTTTATTTTTTATTTTAATAGTAAAAATTAAGAATTTTTTTTTAAAAATATTTTGCAATGAGTGAGTAAATGTATAAAATATAAATATCTCAGTGCTTAAGGATGGAAATATATTAAGCCTCTCACTTCTTGCCTTAGAAAAGGTAGCAAGAAAATTAAACTTTAAACAAAATAAAGTATTTGAAAACATATAGATCATACAGCATAATATGATATAGATAATAATAATAATAATAAGATAAATATACGTTATATATAAGCACATAACTAACTGCCCAGTCAAGTTGTTTGGCCAACATGAAGATGTATTGCAGCGCAGTTTAAGTTATGTTTCAATATTAGAACTTCAAACTAGACAGCATAATAAATATGTTAAGGCCAATCACCAAAGGCAGACACACACGCTCACACACACACACACTAAGTGTGTTGTGAAAATGTGTTGAAAAAAATCTTAAATGAATTTCGTATGGGGCAAAAGTTGTAGCGATTAGGCAACAGGCATGTTCAAAGACGCCTTTAAATCATAAATTGAAACCACAGGAATGCATATTAATATGCAAAGCACGCAAAGCCAGCAGAGAGCGAGGGCGAGAGCATTGAGTTGGCGGAGGCAAGGCGTGGGCGTGGGCGTGGGGGGATGTGTGAGTCAACATAATGAATTATGCCACGCCTAACGAGACAGCAGAGCAGCCAGCTTGGCGCTAGAAATGCTGCTGCTGCTGCTGCTGCTGTGCCAGAGAAATCCAATAAAAATTCAATAAATTCCGCACAATGCTCGTAATGTTGCCCCGTGTCTAAGGGTGTGTGTGTGTGTGTGAGCAGAAGCTGAACGAATGGGTCGTTCAGCACGTGGGGTTAAACGAGCTGCCAGCCACGACTCAGACACGAGTTAGCCATGACGCTGATATGTATACACGAAAAAAAAAACATTGTATAATTAATGCAGATATATAAATAATTATTAAATAATCAAATGAACAGTTTCAATTCATTAAATTAAATACAAATTATATTAATTATGATTAAGAGTTAAATATAATAAATGTATGTTAATGTGTGCACTTATTTTGCGCTGTGTACACACACACACACGCACGCTCATGCACACACGCTTAATTTACGTGCGTTTTTTTCAATTACTTACGGCGCCTAAAAATAGGCAATGCCAAAGGCCAAGAAAATGTGACCGGAAGTCGCTGTCGACCCCATGAAATATGGCACAAACACACACACGCTCGCACACACACACGCATTGGCACGCACACACTCAAATATACAAAGAACGAGTAGAAAAAATTAAATTTCTGCCGCATGTTGAGTCATTAATTGACGTCAAAAATAGGGTTAATATAGTCACACACATTCAAACGCAAACGCACACGCACATAGATAACTATAGAGATGCTGTTTCCTACTTCCGCCCACTGCTTCTGCTGCTCTCGCCCTGCTTGCCCTATATCATGTCAACACAGTCATCAGGCGACTGTCGTTTGAAATTGCTGTCGACCTTTTTGTGTGCTGCCTGGCAGGCAAATGATGCCTATTTGATCAGCAGCCGGGCAAAAGGATAAGCAAAATGAAGCGCACATCCACAAAACAACAAAGAAAATGGAGAAAAAAGCGAAGTGGAAAAAGAAAACGAAACGAATAAAAATAAACGAAAGAGCAGCAAAGGATGGCGTACGCGCCATCATGTTAAACGAATCCAAAGGCGAAAGCCACATTTTTCTATGCCCTTTTTGGCGCATAGACAGCCTAAAGTAGGGTCCTCCTTACCGTTCATTTAAACTGTGCAACTATTTAAAGTAATAGCTGGAAAATTTTTGGATTTTGTGATAAGGGCTTGTCTGATCCTTAGACAGTACTCTGCGCTTTATGAAAATATGATTGAAATCCGGCCTGTCTTATAAATATTTATATTAATATTCGCTGGGAGTTTGAGCCCAACATCCATCTATATATGTTTATAAATATATATGCTTATATAAGAGTACTGTTAGAAGTCAGATTCTCTTGAAGTTAAGGCAATTAAAATGTTATTTATCAAAATACAAGCAAAAAAACCGTTTCAAAATTTGATAACCAATTGATGATTGACCTATTTTTATACATTCCAAATATACAAAACAAATCTTATTGTTAATTAATTTCGTTAATATCATTAAAAAGTATAGGGTAACTCTAGGTTGAACTGGCAGTTAGAGTACTTGGTTTTTTTTATCTAACAATAAGTCGAAATGAGGCAGACATACTAACCTAAAGTCGTAGGCTGGCTGGGTCAGCATTTAACCAGGAACCTCTTCTTGTACTCCTTGTTGCCATTCAGCAGTTGTGGCTGGCTGTTGTTGTAGTTGTCGTAGCTGTTGTTGCTTCTTTATGTTCTTGGTGTTTGTTTCTATGTAAATTTTGATGAGCACGCGGCAAAGTGTATGCGCAAATAAAATTAATACGAAATTGCCGTTTGTCTTAGTCGGTTATAGGCGCGCAGTTGTTGGTTTTTTTTTTTCATTTGCTGTAGTTGTTGCTTTTGTTGTTGTAGATTGTTGAAGTTGGTGTTTTTTTTTAATTTTCGGTTTTTGTAGCTTTGGAATTTTGCTTTAGGTTTTGATTTGATTTTTAGTTATGGCAGCAATTAGATAGCGTTTTAGTTTTGATTGTTAGTTTCAATTTAAATTATATGCAACATTATTGCTGTTTGAGTGGGTTAAGAAAGTTAGCATTAAGTAAAATAATATGTTATATTTAGTGTTAGTTTCAATATAATTTATATTCATATTAATATTTATTTGGAATTTGAATCAATTTATATTGGAGTTAACGAGCTTCATGTCAAAAAGCTCTTTCAAAAATACTATTTCCAAATATAATTTCAGCCTAAAAGTAGGCATCACAATTTATGCTTCGCAAGCTTGCGCCGCTTACAATGTGTTGCCTACTTTTTTGCGCCACAAGTAAAATAAATAAAGTTTTTTGTTTTCCCAATGTTGTGCAATATTTTACGAGTTATTCTTTTATTAAAATAACTTATTCGCTGCGTCAAGTGTTTGCGCAAAATTTTCCAATTATTAAAAAATTCAAGAATATTGCTGCACTTAAAAAGTTTACTGCAAACGCAAACACACAAACAGACAGAAAGAAACGACATCGCGAAGCCATAAAATCCAAAAAGAGAGCAAAAAAACTTTTGCCGCAAAAATAGATTCCTGCTATTATGTTTTCGCTTCTGCTTATAAGGAAAACTGACAGCAAAACACGCGCGCGTTTTGCCAGCTTTGCTGCTGCTACCGCTGCTGCGTCTTCTTCTTCTTTAGCTGCCTGCTTTCAAAAAATAACTCTAGGATACACAAAAAGACACGCCGTGGCCATGTTGCTGTGTGTATGTGTTCGTGCTCGTGTGCGTGTGTGCGTATACTTTGCCCAAAGGTAAAACTTTGGCTGGCAGGACGACTGGCTGTTGTTGTTGTTGTTGTTGCTATTGCTGACTGGCTGTTGATATAATCATGAGAGCACGAATTTGGCTTAAAAAGCGAAAGACAAATTAACGACGAATGGCTGAGCAAACGGAATGAAAGCGAATCGCATGGACGGAAAAGTGCACGAGAAATGTGTATAAAAATACATTTAGTAATAAATTAAATGATTTGCACACTAGCCCCAAACACATACACACACACATACAGTGCCAGACGCACATGCATACGCTCACGCACACACATACATAACACGCGCGCAAAACTAACGAAGCGGCGCGGCAGCAGTGACAGCATAAAATACACACTCACACACTCTAGCAAGCACACACACACATGCACAGAGCAAAAGGACATGAACATAAATACATAAATAGTAGTATATTCGCTGCTTGATTTCTGCCTATTTTCGTGCACAGTGGGCGCCACACTATGTGCGTGTGTGCGTGGGTGAGGGTGTGGGTTGAAGCAGGCGACGTGTATTAATGCCGCTGCTGCTGCTGATGCCGCCGTCGCTGCCCGCCGTAGCTTAGCGCGCAAAAACCGACAGATACACGAACATTTAACACCCAAAAAATGCGTGGCGCATGTTAAAAAGGGAGCAAGCAGTCGGTGACAGCGGCAGCAGCAGCAGCAGCAGTAGCAGCAGTCGCAGCGGCACATAAAAAGTAGTAGATATATACTACATAATTTCATCACGATTGCTTATTGCACATATTATATTTATTGCAATTTCATTTGATTTTCGCTCATCTTGGCGCATATCACTAGTCCACATTTTTTTCATGCTTTACTTGCATTTGTATGTATTTGTGTGTTGGTGGGGTTTTCTTTTATTTTTTGTACTGTTTTTACCGCACTTTGATTTCCTGGCGCGTTTTCGTACCGCTCACGCTTATATCCTGTACTCAACTGACGAAGCCTTTTTTATGTTAAGTGAGCAGGATAACGACGACGAGTACGAAAAAGCTTTGCGTATGGCGCAGCCAACATTAAGGGAGTCGCAAATTGCGTGCAGCCAACTTCAAGTGGTTTCAACTAACCACAGTTGCGCCACTGTTGGGATACTGGCGCGGGCGCGAAAATTTAAAATCTATACTGTAAGGATTTCGAAAGCTTCGCAATTAAGAAACAAGTTTTGTTCACTTGTATAGTTTACTTAATGCTTTAAATTACAAATTTACATGCTTATTAAATGGCATACATATGTATATGTATAAAAATTAGTATATATACGCTGTTTCAACTGCAGCACAACAACAACGTCGCTCATTAGAAGGCATTGTTGGCATACACAAGTATACGTGCATGTTCGATTTATACAATCAATTAAATGTGTCATAAATCATTATAGCTATACAAAATGCGGGACTTTTATCATAACTAACAAATATTTTTAGAATCATTTTAGAAAGTAGGATGATTACGTATAAAGTACACGTCGTATTCCTTTTCGATCCATTTAATCATCTTGTCCACATACTTAATAACCGTTGCTTTATCCACAATGGATTCGAAGACAGCATATAGCTCATACGTGGCTGTCACCCAGGCAAGCACCACCTCACGCTCCTTTACCTCATAGATAAGCTTCAGAGGCCGCGAACTGTTATGTATGCGATGCAATAGATCACAGTAAATAGCTTCCAGACGCTCGAATTCGGCCAGCGATTTGTACGGATGCCTTAGCATTGGACAGAGCAGCTGGGCCGTTGCCTTTGGCTTGTAGAGAAAGTGTCGCAGCTCAGGTACGCTTAGCACCTGCTGATACAGTTTGACATTGTGGGATTGGTTTAGCTCCTTGTTAATGGCCTGCAGGCAAAGACTGCGACGCAACTTATCAGTGATCCGCTCCTTTGCCTCTGATAGTGTGTGAAACGCATCCCGATCCACGGACATCAAAAGCAGGCACGCTGGGCAGTCATCAGCCAAATAAGAAACATGCGCATGCAAATAGCCGTTCATATCGAATTTGGGCAGGCAAATGGGCGTCCAGTTTTCAGAGTTCTTAAATGACTCAGAGCACTCGATCAAATTGAATATCAAACGCAAATCCGCCGGATGTATAGAGTACTTTTTCAAGCGCACCAATGCGATCAACTTGTTGTTAGCTATTAGAACCGCAAACACTAGATTCTTGATCTTCGAACAGTTGCTCTGTATAGCGCTAATTATATTGGAACGTACAGTTGTAGGCAGGGGAAAGACTCGTATCGAATTGGTCAAAAATGTAAAAATGTTGTTGGTAACTGAAAGCAAAAAATTTTTATATAGCACAAAATGGTTTTAAACTGTTATTAAGATTTTACCCTTGGCATGGCTACTATCATTGGCTAACAGATTGAAGATCAATCGCTCGCTGCCGGAAAGTAATCGTCGCAGATCAAAATTTTTTCGTTTCTCAAATATCTTCGACATGTGTGAATAGGTAAGCGTTGAGAGTATTTGATAGTAGACATCGCTGTGACAATTAAAAATCAGATTATCAACAATAACAATCACATTAGGAGTTTTATCTCTGTCTCTACATATCATACCACTCACCTGAGTTGCAGTTGCAGTTGTTGAACGCTCATGTTCGTGCGGGAAGCCGCAACCAGGATGAGCGAGTTGCGTTGCATAAACGCGAACTTAATGCCGCCTGCATGTATGGAAGTGATTGCATCCTGGCCGAGTTGCACAAAGCTGACCAAAGCCTGAATGACACCAAAGAGCGTCGCCAGCTTATCCTCGTTGCCGTGTAGTGAGTAAATGGGTTTACCCGCTTCGCTCAATATGAAAATGTGTTTCTTTTGCCCACGCCACACACTGTCATGCTGATAGTCATATATGTCCTCGTCAAGGGCGTTCGTGCTGCCGCTGTCCTCTGTCTTGGCACTGGTGGAGGTGCTCAGCGCTAGCGACTCTACTGAGGCGGCCAAGTCTCTTGATTGTCCCGTTGCTGCTGCTGTTTCTGAGTCTGGACTCAAATTGTTACGTGTTTGAGTGACCAGCTCATCGCGCAGCACCGAGATAATACTATGCTCATTTTGTTCGACCTCGGCACCGTGTTCCGCCTCCTGGTAAAGATCGCTTGCGCTGAGATCCGTGTCTTGTTCCGGCTCTCCTTCGGCATCCAAGTACTCACATGTGGAATTCGTGTCGGATGTGGCCACATTTGGGGGCGTCTTTTCAAATTCCATATTCTTTCGTTTTAATTTTGCACTCCAAACATAAACATTATTGCAATGACAATCTTGAAACTTATTGTGGGCAACAATCGTTCATTGCCATCGATAACTTACGATATTTGAGTATTTTTATGCTTGGACGGCGACGGTCACACTAGTTGCATGTTATGAAAACAGCGGCCTGCGGCGTGCGTGAAAAATGTTTCGGAAAGCTTTTAATAACTGTAAGTTTCTAAATTAAAACATTTATAAATGTTAATTGCATCTTTCTTGCTTACAGTGCCACGCCTTAGTCAGCTTTACACGCTGCCGGCACGCCTACAAAACACACAGAGCGCCCAAGCCCCAATACCTGCCGAGCCTGAGGACATTGGCGTTATTGAACAACGCATCCTTAAACACCCGGATTACTTCGAAGTGACTAATTTGTTTACTGTGCGCGATTTGTTCAATGCACGTGTACATTATGGCCATAAGGAGGGCTCACTCGACGATCGCATGCGACCATATATATATGGCAGTCGATTAGGTCACTTGATATTCGATCTGGACAAGACGGCTTCCCATTTACGTGATGCGCTCAATTTCGTGGCACACATTGCTTTCCGGGATGGTATTATCTTATTCTTCAATCGCAATGCACTGAATGCTCATTTGGTCGAACAGAAAGCCATGGAGGCCGGCGAGTTTTCGCACACACGCTTTTGGCGGGGAGGAATCTTCACCAATGCCAATGTTCAGTTTGATGCAGTTACTCGGCTGCCGGATCTATGCATCTTTCTTAATACACAAAATAATGTAATGGCACAACATACTGCTGTACGCGATTCAGCCAAAATGGCCATACCCACCATTGGCATCGTGGACAGCAATTGCAATCCAAATCTAATCACGTATCCTGTGCCCGGCAACGATGATTCACCCGCCGCTGTGGAGCTCTACTGCAATCTGTTCAAGGAGGCTATTTGGCGTGGCAAGCGTAAGCGACGTGAACTCCTTGGTCTCCCTCCTCTCGATGAAACCCAGTTTAAAACCAGCCGCAGTCGCTCGAACAAAGGCAAATAAGGCTAAGCTAATAATATACATTTATATTTGTTGAAAATAACCTACATAATACACACTGTGTTTAAAAAAAGATTTGTATACAAGAAGTCAATTTCATAACGATAGTTAACTATGGCAGCCTATATTATACATATGTATTTTGTCCTGGTTTTGTATCCTGGCAAATAGAAAGTTTGAATTTCGTTTGAGACTCAAATGTAGAGTCAAGCTAAGCCATAGTATAAGTTATTAATTTATTAATTTCTTTACATGAATAGCACAGGCTCCTAAATGACATCGTGATGACATTGCTTATTATAATTATGATTATTATAGTTATTATATAATAGCTACGTGTAACTCTCGCTCCAGGGCATCGTTGGAGCAGCCTTCTAGGGTGGCAGTAATGTGCCACCTTTAATGAAGCTGGATGTGTAATTGGCGTAAAAGGAGTTGGTGCCACTACTGTTGCCCCCGCTGCCGATGCCGCCGCTATTGGTGTCTGACTCCGGCACGTAGGGATGGCTATTGTAGCCAAAGTAACTGCTGCTGCCGCCGATAGGTGATCCGGTTTGCGCCGAGAACTGACCCACAATCGGCCTCGTTGGATTGTTGGGCATGCTTCCCATATCGGCACCAATTCCACCTTTAATGGCACGTCCAGTGCCAAAGATTTGTTTTCGTACGGGTGGCGGGCCTCGATGAAATGTATTCTGATCGTTGCTCTTTTGCCATGTGGGGTTGACTGGCTTGCGCACGTACACCTGAGCCTGTCCATTGTTGCCCGCCGTTTCCGATTTACGATTGCTCTGCTGCACCCACTGCTCCGCATGCTTTATAGTTAGCATGGCTTTATGTGCCCCTATATACTCCTCGGCCTTTTCTAAGCGCTCCAATTGCTTCTCGTCCAGTTGATCGCGCGGCAATTTGCTGAGACGTTGCACAGTGCGTTTCCAATTATGAAATTCACGATTCTTAAAGGGTTTCATCGCCTGGCGATATTCGCGCCATTGACGCTGGCGATCTTCTTTGGTGCCCGGCGGCGCATCTTCCAATGGTGGAGGCGCCTCCGGCCGCTGTATCCATTTGCCATCAATTTGCACAAAAGTCCCGCCGCCTTTTTTCTTCTTGACAAGTTTATTCGATGTAGAGGAATTGTTGGAGGAGCAGTTACTACTACTGCCACTGCCTCCTGGTGGCGGTGGTGGTGGCATCAGTGCCGCGTCTAACAAGGCATTGTTTGTAGTATTGTTATTGTTATTGCTAATGCTAGTCATGTTGTTCTTGTTGTTGAGGTTGTTGGTACTGGCTTTGTATTTCTTGTTGGGCTGATTGTTTTGACTATGGCTACTTTTCTGTTGCCGTTGCTGTGTTTGTTTCTCTCTGGGCACCAGATTCCACGAGCTTGGACACTTGGGCATAGGTGGTTGTATAGGTGGGGGTCGATGTTGTGGCGACATCATATCCTCCCAAAAGGGTGGTGGCTGTAAAGGTCGATGGTTGCGCGGGCCCGGCCCAGGCCCCATATTGCCCATGTTATTCATGTTGCCCATGTTACAGCCTGAGGGCATCATTGGCGATGGTCCACAAGGACCGGGTCCGTGCCCGAAGTTACCAAAGCCCATGGACATTAAAGGAAAGGGCAAAGGCGGTGGTCGACTTAGGGGTGGAAACAAATTGTTGATGTTATTGTTATTGTTATTATTATTTTGATTGCGATTGTTGGGCTGTCTGTTGTTAATTTTGTGCATCTTGCGACTATTGCGAGTTGCTTGTGCATCCTCTGGCTGCTCCTTGGCCTCTTTATTCTTCTTCCAATCGGCAAAAGACATTCGCAGTGGTTTCGTATCATCACCCTTGTTGACACTCTCATTTTTCGCCGCCTCTGGCGGTGTTGTATCCTCCCTGGCTGAATTTTCAGCCATTATTTTTGTCAATTTTTACAGAACTAATAATTGAAAAGATTCGGAGCAAAGGAGTTTTGAGAAAAATTTATGGAGCTCGACCGATATTCAACTTTTCGATTTGCCAGGGCTACTGCACAACCCTGTTATATTAAGGCTCCTGAAATAAGCAATTTGACAAAGTGGCAGCACTATGTATTGAATATCGATTATTTCTAATTAAGAATACCCAAACAGAATAACTACAGAGCATCGCCTAAAATTTCTCTACTATCGATATTTTATAAAAAATAATATAAAAGTAAGTGAGATTTTTACAATTCAACAATTGAAAATGGAATAAAACCAACATTAAATAAAATAAATAACCTGATAAAGCTTTACTACATTAACAGAATTAGCAAAACATTTTTAACTTAACAATATATCACCAGTTGATGCCAATCGAAAATACTATTAATGAGAAGCTAAATCGATAGTACCGATGACTGTTTTGCAGATCTAGTAGTCGCTGAGATTTTTTGGTAAGCTTTCATATAGCTATTTCGTTAAATTAAACCAGACCAAAGTGGACAACATTGCGAAAAAGTAGTTTATATTTCGCACTTATTTACCGCGACAGTTTTTTTTGTTCGAGTTTTCCTTTACATAGTACTCCAAAGTTGCTGCAGCAAGTGGAGCGCTGCTACGCAGTCTACGCGTAGTTTCCAACCATCGACTACCGTTGGCACATACATATTATTACTTAATTTCGAACAATAACCAATGGAAAAGTGTTTTAGATACTCACAGTTACTTAAGTAAAACACATTGTGTGTAAGTTGGGATGCAAAGTGATTTTGTTGGCATCGGGCGTAAAAGTTAGAGCATATTCAAAGGCACACGCCTTGCCCTACGCCCCAGGCGACGCAAACAGCGCTGCCAGCGTCAACGTCTCTGTCGCTGCTACAGTCATATTTGTTGTTGCTATTCTCGACATATGATTCAATAAGTGGGCAAGATCGCTGCGCGCACTGACAGTTTCCTTTTTGTTCTTGTAATATTTGTAAATGCTATTTAAAACCAGAATCTATGAATCTGCGCCGCAGCATAAAAACGAAAGTTAGCGACAATTAGCCGCAGCAAAGACAAGTTCGTTCCGCGTATTTTTTTGTTATTGAAACTTAAATGCCGAAGACACACATACACACAGAGTCAGAAGTATACAAATGGCCATTGTGCCCGTTTTATGCAAACGCTTTTGGAATTTGTGTGCGCAATTATAATTCATATAATTCGTAAGTGATTCATTGTGGCGCCTTTCATTGCTGACGATAATTATATGCGCTAAAAGCAATCTCTTTTGATTATGGCTAGCCAAAGTGAGCAGCACTGAAAACTATCATAAATCTAGTTTTATCAGTTTCGGCCTTAAGGTTCTTATCACAGTTGCAAATGATATACACAGTGCATACATTATGTATATATCTGTACGTATGTAGATATATATGTATATTAACACTTGCGTCGTAGATTGCGAACGATACCGCTACGAAGACTTTTGTAACAGTCAATATTAACATAAGCGATGTCAACCGATATCGATAACAGCTAAGATTCGATTTCTTGAGTGTAGAAATTAGATCAATTTGAAATGTTTAAAACATGAGAGAATGTCTACAATAAGAAAGTAAAATTAAATGTAAGGATGAAAAATATGTCACCATGGTGCAAAACCTAATTTTCTCCATTAATAAAACGAGTACTGAAAGAAACTGGTACAAAGTTCGAAGCAATTTCGATTTAACATAGGGTTTCTACTGTGCGCCTTTTGCTAATCAGTATATATATGTATGCTTGGTTCACCTTTCTATATTTCTATCTATCTTTGCAGGGGGAGGTGCGGAAACGCTTCTACGACTTCTTTCACACAATTTCGCAACATACACACACGCAGACATCAATAATAAGCAAACGAACGAACTTAAAAAAAGAACACGGAGATAAGAAAACAGAACTTTTAAGCCAACAATAGCCACAAATCGAAACAGGGCTAAAATAGAAAAAAGAGTGAGAACAAAGTCAACATGGCGCACACACAGCTGGGTAGGGCGGTAAAAAACATTGAAGCACCCCGTCCGCTCAAGACACAATCGCGTTCATCACTGAAAAACAGCTACCTTGTAATTGAGGAGTTGATACAGTTGATCGACAATGTGACTGTTGGTCTGCAGTCGTGCAATACGACAACTGAATCGATAACGCTGCTGTTGCATAATTTGCGTGTCCATGGACCGCAGCTGGAGGCCGTGTCCAAGGATACGCTGGATCGTGCATTCGTTGTGTTTCGCAATGCTTCGCTGGACGAACGTCTGAACATAATGACACGACTCAAGCTGCTCGAACTGATCGAATTACGCGCCAATAGCTGGGAAGACAAAGACACAATTGCCTATTACAAGTCCAAGCAGCAAGTGTCCAGCATTGAGGTGGGTGATAATCCTAAATTACAAAAACACATTTTGTAAAATATGCTTTGTCTTTAAATATTTTAGTTACCCGCTGAAACATATCAACACGATGCTGCAGGCGTCGTAGGCAACCAGCAAGCCTTTCTCAGCACCTCCCCCACATTCGGCGGCAACGGCGGCGGCGGCGGCAGCGGAAACATGGGTGCACTTGTTGGTGTCGACTCAGCCGCTGCTGCGGCCTTCAATGCGGCAACACTTGCTGCCGCACAGGCCGCGGCCATTGCTGCCGTCGGGTCACCCAACCAGCAGCATCTGCTGTTGCCACCCGGTGCAGTCATACGTAATTCGGGTAAATTCCCCAAGCCCACTAAAATACCGGGAAAGACCTATTGCAAGGATGAGGTGGTCATAAGGAACGCCGATTCGGGCAAGGGTAAGTATCAGTTACGGATGCTGCTGTAAATATTGCATACAGTACATTTATATACATGACTATATATTTGACTATCTATCTGCTGTTTGCCAATCGTCCCAAATAGTTATGGGCATTAAGGGCCGACGTGTACACATGATCGAGGAACTTAGCGAAACAATAATATCCTTTCAACGAGGTAAAACGTTAGAAAAAATATCATCTAAGCATATTAAGCATTTATTAATGTCTTGTCCAAAATCATAATCTAAATTCTATTTTGAATTATAACGTCCAAATCAGCACAGTATGCACGCAAATACATACGCACACACACATACACACATAAACAATATTAATGCACACGAACACACAATATCGCCCGCACGTTTAGGTGAAATTTAAAGTTTTGCCTCTTTTCATTTTGTTACGAAACTGCTAATTGTTTTAATACCAAAACATGTAAATATCTTACCATTATTAAATTTAGAAATATGTCTTCGTTTATTAATATTTCTATAATCTTTTGTGTAGTCAATCCTGGCGCGAAGGAACGATTGGTGCAGATTACCGGACCAGCAGAAGATAAAATTAAGTAAGTTTTAAGTTAATTTTCCATGTTTGCTTACGCTTAGCTGCATGATTGGCGCTGCCAATAAATCTTAAACGTTGACTGGAATTAATTAACAATTGGCGTTGCCAGATTATTCAAGAATATTTTGCCCACAGCTAGCTGCTTGCTTATTTAAAATCGACTGACCAGTTGGCGCTGCCACTTTTTTGCAAAGATTTTGTAAAAAATAACTGTTTATCGCCATTTTGCATGAATATTCCTATTGTAAAATATTTACTAATTTTTGCAGTTACGCCAAGCAATTGATGGAGGATACCATACGTCGTAATGCATCGCCGGTACGTTTGGAGCCGGCACCATCAGCCGGTGGTGCAGGCGGCTCCTGTTCGTCGTTGAACTCTTCCAATTCGGATGATGCCATCGTGCAGCCACGCACGCCCAGCACTAGTAGCAGCCTGGCTAATCGATTAAGCTTCAATTCGGCTCAGAATTTCATGACTTCCACAGCAGCGGCTCATCAAATGTCGCAGCACCATCAACAGCAGCAGCAGCATCAGGGACAACATCATCACCACCATCAGCAGCAGGTTGCCAATGCGGCTGCGGCGGCAACAGCTGCTGCCGGTAAAGTTATACGTCCCAATCAACAGCTGCTAATGCATTCATATTCCACAAACGATGCTTCCGTAGGTGAATACAAATTCACGGTCAATGTGGGCCAACATCTCATCAAGATCACAGGTGACTGCTGCGAGTTAGTGCGTGTAAGTAGTTTGCCATTTCGTTAACTCTCAGCTCGAATAAACAATTCTTTAATTTTGGATAGGTGGCCAAACTCGTCTTGGATGATTACTTTAGCAGTTCCGAGTTCTTGGCTTCAATGGAGGCGGGCGCGGCCTTCGATGGCACCTCACTTGTCAGTCCAGTTACAACGCCCTCCACACCGTTGCCAGGCTCTGGACCGCCGCAGTTTATGTTGGGCAACGCGCTGCCGTTGGCCGATAGTGGCATTGGACTGAACTATGCGGCTGGTCAGGGCAACAATAATGGTGATGGGGATGATGAGGTGTTTGTCGATTCTACTGCACCCAATGGTAGCAGCAGTCAGAATGGTTTGGCACGTTCGCGACGCAGTCATTTTTCACGCAAGGAGTCAACGCCGGAAACCAAAGCAGCACGCGAAAAGGTTGAAGAAGACAATGAGGCCAATCGGTTAAAGACGAATAACTGTAAGTAAACAGAAGTTGTAGATACAGACCTGGTCAGCAGTCACACCTATACCATTTTTGAATGAAGATCAATTAAAATATATTTTAATTTGCAGCACGCGTCTCGTATGATATTGAACATATGATGTACTATTCGAAGAGTCCCCATGCCTGGGCTCTGCCAATTGAATGGGTAAAAATGATGGAAACAGTGCCGTCGATACTTCGCAATAAGGTAATTCAACCAGTCGAGATGCACTTGAAAGCTTCTGCGCCAAGTGCTGATATCATTCTTGCACATAATTCATCATTAACAACAACAACTACTACTACTACTACTACTACTACTACAACAGTATCTACAGCAAGTACCGGAGTGCCAGCTATCAATCAAGAACCCATTAACGAATGTGACCCCATCAATAATCACCCAACTGCTAGCAATCAAAACTTTGTAATTAACAAGCAAACGCAAGCAAGGCTTATTACTGTAATGCTCGATAGCACAAGCGAACGCAAGCAAATATTATACGAACGAGACGGTAGTCACAACAATCGCAAACCATCCTCAGAATCAGATCGTAAATTATATAACAAACAATTGCAAATTATAACAAATACAATGGGTGCAGCTGCCATAGCTAGCAAATGTCGCAACCAACATCAGCCGCAACCAAATCAGCAGAATTCGCAGATCAAGACAATATTTCAGCGCTATAGCGAGAACGATGAATTCTCCCTGGCCATGTGTGATGCGTACTCCAGCGAGGAGCTGAACAACAATCGTGCGCTTATCTAGAGTGCTTTTTTATGCATTAAAGAAAGAAATCTCATGACTTAGCTATTTATAGTTTAGATTTTTTTCCGTAATCCAACAGATGCTAAATAGCTTATACAATATGACAAAAAAGAAAAGATAGAACTTAATACGATCAAATAACAACCCACAACAATGATATACTCAGTATTATTATATTTAATGAGCAACGCAACAATTTGCTAGTCTTAGGCTCTATATACATTTTGTTAAATATAAATATTTCAACAAAAAAAATTTGAAAAAGAAAAACAATTAACTTTGTAACTTTGAAGGAATCTGTGTTTTGGCTGTGAAACAGATTTAGTGTTCGCTAGAGTTATATATACATATATATATATTTAATGTTGTCGGTCAACCTATAGTATTGCCCGGACAATCCCATATTAACACCAGCTCGCACACACACATACACATATATATATATACATACACAATGTAATTAATGTTTAACAAGACTAATAACAACTGCAATTGCTAAAATTTAGCCTTAATGTAACATAACTTAGATGTAAGCGTTTTTCAAAACATAACCCATTTAAAATTTATACACATATATGTATATATATATATGTGTATATATACATATATATAGCATATATGCAAAAAATAAAAATGACTTGCAAAGTCGCAGCGCTTGGCTTTATCTATTTGTACATATATTTGAAAACCAACCACTTGCCATATCAAACACACACATAAGCACGTCACACATACACACCCACACACATTTGCTAAATTGATAAGGTAAGAGCAGTACGTCTTTTGTTTCATGTATACTTCCGAAATCGGCACTATATTAATTACATCTCAATTTTGAACAGGATCTACAGGATGAGAGCCAGCGTTTCGATGGTGAAAAATATCTGGCTAGCATTCAAAGTGCCACTAAACGAAATATTGTGGCAGTCGACGATACCGAAAATGTGGACGAATAACACAGAAGAAAAAAGAAAAACAAAAACAAAAACAAAAAACAAACGCATAAAATATATTCAACGAGATTTGACAATAGCTAAATGCTTATGTGGAGATAGTTTTGCCTCTGAGTGTGTCAACTTCTTAATTGGGCCACATAAACTGTCAGACTATCTTTTATCTACATAAACTATCTTTCTGTTTTTGTACTCTGCTTTTAGCTCTAGCGTGTCACGTACATTTCTTAATATTATAAACGACCAAAAAAACAAAAAAATCAATTACTATGAATAATATAAATACTAACTTAAATTAGGAGCTTTATAAAAGAAAACAAAATATCTACGATGATTTATGAAAAAGTTAAGTCAAAGCAACTTTCAATCTAACGATGCTCTTAAATTAAGACAAAAAAGAAAATCGATGAATATTTACTAATATTTAATACACTTACTATGATAATAACTAAATGCAGCTTTTTGATGGAACTCTCGATGAAATCTTCATCATAATTCACATAACGAAAAGCGGTTCGAACATTAACGGCCAAAATCAACGCAAATGCATTTTTATTTAACTAGTAAAAAAACACAAACAAAAGAAAAACTACACTTTTTAGTTTCTCAATACGAACATTTTTCATACATATATATATCTTTTTTCAATCATCATATTTTCTCAAAACAAACAAAAAGAAATTATAATTTTGTGTATTTTTCATATATTTTTGTGCAATGAATATCATTTAAAAGAATTGTATTTTGAATTTTCTCTAGTCCAATGCGTAATGGAAACTTTTATGTCTTTATTTTTGGTTTCTAAAATTTAACACGCCAATGTTTATTTGGAATTTCTGTTTATGTTTTAGCTAATTTATTTAATTTATTATAAATTATATATTTTCGATAAATGAAAATCGTTCACACATGTATATGCAAATACAAAATAAATTGAATAAATATCAAGTCAAGTTCTTGTAATTATTGAAACAGATAACCCAAATCAACATGTTCTATATCTATAGAATATTTAATATATTTTAGTCCAGCTGGGCAAATATACCTTTTGGGACATTGCAATAAAACAAACGCTCAATTTGCTAGATATGTTTGTATATTTTTATTTATAATTTATCTTTGGCAACTGGCACATAATACATTTATACATAAATTACAACAAAATCGCAATCACAATTATAACAATAGTTTCTTGATATGTTAGGAAAGTGGGGGGATCGTTATTGAATCGTAAGTCGAATAGTAATTTGTGCGATTAGTATTGGAGGAATTGTGCCAAACACATAGACCGTAGTTAGATACATTTATAGATGGCTAACAACATCACATTGGTTAATCATATATAGTGTATATTTATCTATATTTAATATTTATATATGTGTTTTTATATATATAAATATATGTATGTATTTAGTTGCCCAATAGAGGCCGTCGATCCGTAGTGCCGCGCTGTGTTAAGCTTTTGTTGACGATTTGAAAAAGAGATTGTACAGATTAGTGAAATGTTTGTTTCAAAGCCAATCTATATAATACACACAATATATATATATATCAATATACACCAATACAACATGTATAGATTGAACACGATCAACTAGACTCAATATTCACGTACATGGAAGTATGATAGGTGGCACGCTGTGCCGGCGACATATTCAGATTGCCCTGATGCTTGCGATCGTAGGTCCAGATAACGCATGTAGCCAACAGGGAAACTGTAGAAAATAGGTATGGCGTTAGCTATCGCTAAAGACAATCAAATACATTGTAGCACTTACTCAATAGGAACAGTATAAAGAAGAGCTGCAGCCAGAAGTGGCTGCCGCCGCTATTGTCCACGATTACTCCAGCGACAATGGTGACCACCGCAAGGCCCAGATTTTGCACCGATTGGCAACTGAAATTAAAAACATATTAATTAATATATATCATATATCATATATCATCAATATATATCATATATTGGTATATTTTCACTTACAAGCCATAGGCAGTGCCCAGCTGATATTCGGGCACGATTAGCGCTACCATAGGCCACAGACTGGCAGCTAGCATTGAATAGGACAGACCCATGATTGACATGCCAATGTACGGATTAATTTGGGTAAATGTGAGCAGCACATGAGCGACAATTGTTGACACTGTTGCTACAAATACCCAACTAACATTGCGACCCAGGCGATCTATTATAAAGCCAAACACAGGCGATGCAATGGCTGAGATCAAGTACACAATCGAATTGACCGTATTTGCCTGTTCGGGCGTCAGGTGGAAGGTGGATACGAAAAACTCCTGGCCGAGCGCAACGAACGGAAATATGGCCACATAATAGGCCACGCAGACGACCGATACCATCCAGAAGTCAAGCCGGAATGTTGTTATATCGCTGAGCTTGGCTACATCGCCGCCCGGATTGATGTTGCGCTTTAATATGCGTTCGGCGCGCTTATCCATCCAGCCTGCAAGAAAACGAAATTTTATAAATGTCTTAAATATTTCGATTATATTTTGTAGCATACCCAAAATAAGTGTGCACAACAATGACATCACACAGGTGATCGCGGCCAGATACAGCGTAACGCCCAAGCCCGTGTATCCAGCGTAGAATTCGGATACATAATTGTAGAGCGGTTGCATTATCCAAAAGTTGACGGTGCTGCCAAAGCGTGCCACAGACAGCTGCAGACCAAACACCATGTTCAGCTCCTTGCCCTTGAACCACAGCACAGCATAGCTATTCTGGGCGACAGCCAGGGATTCGGCGCCGATGCCAAACATAAAGCGACCAACAATCATTAGCCAATAGTGACCCAGCACTCCGCCAGTGGCAAATACCAATTGACCAAGCAATACAATCAGCATGTAAATAATTGCACCCATGCGTATACCAAAAACACGATCGACCAGAAAGCCACCCACAAAGCAGAGCACAATATTGGGCCATGAATAGATAGAATAGATCAAGGTAAACTCGGTGGTGTTCAGATTAAGTTCCTTCTGAAACACATCCTGTAGTGCACCCGGATTATCATAGCAAAAATAGGAACCTGTAAACCGTACAGGCCAATTAGTAATTGATAACAATTGCTAACTAACTAGGATAACAGACCAAATCCCAACAGGCACATAAATATTAGTGCTAGGAAACGATGGGGCTTGCTGGTGGGGACACAACAGCCCTGATCCTTGGCCACGGCCGATTCAGTGTCCCGTGTGCTGCGCCTACGCACCACAGGTCTTGCCTCATCCTCACCACTGCTGCTTGCTGTATCCACAATTGGCAAACGTTCCTCCCGCGACATTTTCAGGCAAATTTTTAGGTTTTATGTTTTTATTTGTGTTGACTTTTTGTTTGCTAATGCCTTGGGATGAGAAGTTTAGAGCTTTGTGTGTCTTGTTTAGAGCTGAGTCTGGGTATATGGCCACGGGGCTGCCCTCTATTGTTGTTGCTTATCACTAGCCCACATCTTGTCTTTGTTGTTGTTGTTGCAGCCGCTGCTGTTGCTTTATTGATTATTTCAGTGCAAGTGCAGAGGCACTATCAAGGCGCAGGCGGGAACTGGGGGTGGGGGTTGAATTGAGTTGCTAAGCGCTTGAGCCGTCGAACTGCAATAAGAGTCAAAATGGCATTTTAGAAATTTTTCCAACATCTGACAGCAATACACCCACATGTACACAAGCAAACCACCCTGTGGGTGACTGTTAGACAAACAAGATATAGATCTTGGTCACAGTTTGTTGGTATTACGGTGCAAATGCTTTGCTAATCAATTAAGTGTCATGCATTGTGAGCGGCTTAAGTGAAGCATTAAACGGGTAACACCTTCGGTTTAAAATTTCGAAAAACACCGCTCTTTCTTTATTGGCCGCCCAGGTAATAAGTACATACATGTTTACATAGCAAAAGGCACACATATGGTACATACGTGTGTGAGTATGTATATATTCATATGTGTGTGTATAGGATACAAAGCCTTTTTATCAACGCCAACTACGCACGTCACACAATAATTAATCAGTGTCTTTAATTTCGTGTCGTTTGAGTTTGTTTTGAAATTATAATTAGGCGCGCGCGCCCACATGATTCAAAAGCACCCGCTGATAACAAAATATGTGATTATTAACATTGTGTTATTGTTATTATTTAAATTCAAAACAAACACAATTGATTCACAAATAGAAAAAGTGTCTATACACTGAGTGTGTGAAAAATACTCAACAAGTGCCATTGAAAATGACAGGTCAAGCTAATAGCACAGAAAATCACACCTCCTACCTGTTTTCCGCAAGCGGAAAAACTAAACTCAAGTTTGTTTTTGATTTCCCACTTAACCTAGGTTATATGAACTAGTTCAAAGTAGTCGTTCACTGAGCCTATCGATATTGTCATTTGAGACATATCGATAGCAAAGCGAACAATTTTTTAGAGCTGAGCAAATACACGACTGTTTGGCCTTTCAAGCAACATGTTCACAAATTTATTACACATACATATAGATAGATAAACAAGGTTCATATATATAACTCCCACCAAAGATTAAAGTCTTTCAGCCACGCATCAAATTGTTGTTGCATAAATTATATAAATTGTTAATATTTACTCTCCATTTCATTCATCGTGTAAACTACAAATTGTGTTACTATGAAATAATGTCATCGCAACAGCGCAAATTCATACGGAAACAAAACGTTTCAAACAACACTGCAAATACTGTAAATCCAAACACGCATCTATTTTTGTAATGCTCACAATAGTCGTAACAATTGCAATCAGTGTTGGCTAAAGCTACCAAAACATCCAACAGACAACGGACAGGTGGATATGGCTGCGATAAAGGTGAGTTGTTAAATATTTCTGTAATTTATAGTGCGTTGTTAATTTACATATATATGCATATTTTTTATATTAATTTTTTTTTTGTACATGGGTGCGCATTAGAACATCGCGCTGGGCGTTTTGTACGGGCTGTGGGACAGCATACGCGGAATGACGCTGGTTCTGCACATAGACAATGAGGTGGCTAGACAAAATGCAGAACTGGAGACAATGCGCCAACTGCGCAGAATGGACAGGGATCAATACAAACAAACGCAACGATCTCCTTCGCCAGTGCCCAGCTCTGCAGCGGCAATGATACGCGAGGAGTTGGATAAGCGGGCGGAGGCCAATTCTGATGAACGTACTTTGGAAAAGATATTCAAAAAGAAACCAGTGGAAAAGCAAGAGCCACAGGCGTAAGTATGATATACAAATAGGGGTACTCCTGGAAATGATTATGCTACAATAACATAATGTAAAACGGGTATCGATAAAAAGTTATCATACAACAGCTGTTTAACATACAACTGCATTGATGCATTTTGAACGAGAGAAAATACCGCTCAACGATTATTTGAGTGCCCCGAACAATAAGTGCGCCTATTACGCATTAATTGTGTTTATTACGTATTATTTGCAGTGAGAAGAAAATAGCCAAGAAATTATTAAAATGCTGCCTACTAAATGGCGGCTTCACGTGGCTAAGCATTGTGCTGTTTGAGAACGTGTTGCTGCCCACGCTCAAATTCTGCCTGACCATCTTCTATGGCGCGCAGTCAGATACTCTACCATTCGTCTGGAGCTGGCTGCATCCCATCTTGTCCTTGATATTTGGCATGATGTGGGTACTGCCTATATTCATGCTGTCGAAGATTGTCAGCTCGTTGTGGTTTGCGGACATTGCGAATGCGGCGTATCGTGTGCGCAAAGGTCGGCCACAATTGATACCCGGCATAAGTAAGCTGGTGGCCGATTTCCTCTTCAGCATGGTGGTACAAATGCTGTTCCTGGTGCAGAGCATGCTGGTGAATTTGGTGCCAGTCAAATATGTGGGCTCCTCATTATGCTTTCTGCATTTGTGCCTTCTCTATTCGCTGTACTCCTTTGAGTATAAATGGTTTAACATGGGATGGGAGCTGCATCGACGTCTCACCTACATTGAAAAGAATTGGCCATATTTCTTCGGTTTTGGCATACCGCTGACGGTGCTAACAAATATGTCCAGCTCAGTGATTGTCAGCAGCTGTATATTTTCCATATTCTTTCCGCTCTTCATACTCAGCGGCAATGAGGCAAAGCCCATTGTGGACACAACGTAAGTAGTTGATTTTGCCATATACTATAGTATATAAATATTTACTGTTTTTAGGGAAATTTCACTACGGCTTTTCTCGCCGGTGGTTTTCATATCCAATCTATGCTTTGGCGGTAATCCATGGAGCAAAACTAATCGACTGTTGGCTCAGCAGCGCAAACAACTGGAGCAGCAGCGTCGCGAAGAGCTGCTGCTAAAGCAGAAGAAACAGCAATATATGCTGCACCAGCAACGGGGCCATGAGGCACGGCGCGAACATTCAACGTCGCGCTCACGCACACCGCAGCCCGGGCAGCCGCATTATCGTTACGCCCAACCGCCTGCGTTTGATGCAGCTCGAGTGCGTGACTCTTCGGCCTCGTCCACGCACAGTTCTAATGCTGCCACGCCGACCAGTTATAGGCCGCCCCCTTTCTTTGGCGCTGCTGGAATGCACAGCAATGTGCCCCTAGTGCCCATACCTGTGCCCGGTGCACCCCGCACGCCTATTGTTGTGCGCGAGGAGTCGGGGCCAGATGACTGGAATTTGTGAGATTTTGATGCATATATGCACACACACGCAGAGATACAGAGATAGTTTAATAAGCATAGGCTTTAGCATGTATGTATATATATATATTCATGTACTGCAATTGAACTGTGTATGTTAAAATTTAATTTAAGTCTACGCATAATGACAATGCATACTAGTCGTTGGTCGACAGCGCCTGTCCACAACTAGTAGCTACTTATCTAATATATATACTCGTATCTAAGGTGGCGCCCAATCAAGGGTATTTTTTTATCTGACTGGTCATTCAAAAGTTTCATATTTAAATGTAATAAAATTTTTTGTAAATTCATCTAAAATGAATTGTGTTTACTATAATATGGTATATATAGTTTATTATATAAATTTATGTGTATATATTTTTATATTTGTGGAGGAAATGCATTGGTTATGAGTGTTTTTGAACTAAAATGTTTATTTTTGAATAATATTTGACTTTAATAGCCGCAACACTAAGTTTTATCCTATGAGAGCTTGTATTACTTTTGAATATGGTTTCCTAACTCTAATTTGATGTACTATTTAAGCAATTTAGTTTATTGAAGCATTTAAAAGATTGTATCATAGAAATGATTAAATTCAAGGACACGTATTTGGCTGTCAGTAAAAGGGTTCTTTGTGACAACAAACAACTCCAACTGCTGACCCACATCCTGTTCGAATCGTGTAGAGGGTGTTACCAATTAGCGCACCAAACAATAGATTATGTGGTCAGCAGGGTAGCCCAACCAATTGATTATCACCAAGGATACACATATGTCCACACATACGAAACGCTGCCTGGCCGTAGCCGCTGTCGTCAGTTGTCAATTGCGATTCGTGTGGTGCGGTCAATGTTAAGATTTTGTGCTCAAACTGAAAAATAATAATGGGGAAGTGCATAAAGACTTTAAAATATCTATGTGTAGCGTGGACGTTGCTGCATATGGAAATTGCAGCTCAGAACACTCAGAATATCAATGTGTGTAAGTGCCAAATCGATAGATGGAATAAGAATAGATAGCGTACTGGGGTCTTAGGTAAACTAATTAGGCTGAAAGTGCTCGATAGGGTGGGGAGTTAGGTCGCCTATGCAAATAGTGAAACTAATGTCGTGTCCTCTAATAGTTTTTATAAACGAAGTGGATAATGAGCCAGCGACCAAGGCCATCGAGGTGGTGCTTACCTACTTGAAAAAGAATCCCAGCTATGGTTTATCGGTGCAAATTGAGTCCATTGAGGCAAATAAAACGGATGCCAAAATACTACTGGAAGCAAGTACGTTTCTATTTTAGATCTATGCACCTATATGTACCTCTATATGCCGTTATATATAATCGAATTGATCACAGTTTGCACCAAGTATGTGGCCAGCATTGAGCGAAAGCAAACGCCGCATCTCATCCTGGACACCACCAAATCGGGCGTTTCCTCGGAAACAGTCAAGAGTTTCACCCAAGCCTTGGGCCTGCCTACTATTAGCGCCTCCTATGGACAGGAGGGTGATCTGAGACAGTGGCGAGATCTGGATGAATCAAAGCAAAAGTATCTGTTGCAGGTAATGCCACCGGCCGACATTATACCTGAGGCAGTGAGAAGCATTGTCAAGCGACTGAACATTACCAATGGTAAGTGTGGGGTATGCTCGACTTGTAAGTACCCTATATGTGAAATGTTTTTGGCTACTAAATACCCTAAATGGGAAATACGTTTTGCCATAACTGTATATAAACCTCAGTTTAAAGTCAATTTTAGCATTTATACAGGGTGTCATAAGCAACCACATTTCCACTTAATTTCGCTCTCCCTTTAGCTGCCATTCTCTATGATGACACGTTTGTTATGGACCACAAGTACAAGTCGTTGCTGCAGAACATTCAGACGCGTCATGTCATCACTGCCATTGCCAAGGACGGGAAACGCGAGCGCGAGGAGCAGATTGAAAAGTTGCGCAACTTGGACATTAACAATTTCTTTGTGCTGGGCAACTTGGAGTCCATTGGTCTGGTGCTCGAATCCGTGAAGCCCGCATATTTTGCACGCAATTTCGCCTGGCATGCGATCACACAGCACGAGGGTGAGCTGAGGAGTAAGCGTGACAATGCGACGATTATGTTCCTGAAACCCATGGCGTATGCGCAATATCGCGATCGCCTCGGCCTGCTCTACTCCACATTCAACTTGAATGAGGAGCCGCCGCTGACATCGGCCTTCTACTTCGATCTCGCACTGCGCAGCTTCTTGGCCATTAAGTAAGTTGGATGAGGTGGGGAATGCTGGGTCGTAAATCACATAGCATTGGAATTAGTATAGATTCATTTATTCCAAAACAGAACTAACTAATCTTGGACATTTTAGATAACATCCATATCAAATGCACTTCTTATTTTATTGATAATATATAATTATTATTTCCGGAGTTTCTTGTATTGGGATTTCCGAACTAATTGCAATTTCCTCTCTGCTTGTCAGAGAAATGCTGCACTCGGGCGCCTGGCCAAAGGACATGGAGTATCTGAAGTGTGATGACTTTCAAGGCGGCAATACACCTGAGCGTAATATTGATCTTAGGCAATACTTTATACAGGTGTGTTTACTTCCCCTACGACAATTATGGTTAATTATTGTTTACAATATTTGTTTGGTTATATGTTTTGGGCGCGTTCAAAGGTTAGCGAACCCACATCCTATGGCACATTCGAGCTGGTCACGCAACCGCGCCAGACATTTAATGGCTTCAGTTATATGAAGTTTGAAATGGATATCAATGTGCTCCAGATACGCGGTGGCAGCTCTGTCAATAGCAAATCAATCGGCACCTGGACAGCTGGCCTCGACTCCCCGCTGGTCGTCAAGGATGAGGAGCAAATGAAGAATCTGACCGCAGACACGGTCTATCGCATATACACAGTTGTGGTAAGTGATGTGCGCGACTAACAATATGTGGTTAGTTATGATTGATTGATTAATTGACTGAGCGAGTGACAAGGCACGCACAGTGCAAGTGATAAGACCCGGGCAAGTGATTAGTAAACATTTTGACTAGGATTAGCTTGCTGAACACGAATAGTTTCAGGCTTATAATCTTAGCTATGAATCTATTGATGTGATCTGTTCTTCTGATATTCACAGCAAGCACCCTTTATAATGCGCGACGAGACAGCACCCAAGGGCTATAAGGGCTACTGCATTGATCTGATCAACGAGATTGCGGCCATTGTGCACTTCGACTATGAGATTCAAGAGGTGGAGGATGGCAAATTTGGCAACATGGATGAGAAGGGCGAATGGAACGGAATTGTTAAGAAATTGATTGACAAACAGGCCGACATTGGACTGGGCAGCATGTCGGTGATGGCAGAGCGTGAGATTGTTATTGATTTCACGGTGCCCTATTATGATCTGGTGGGCATCACAATAATGATGCAACGTCCCAGCTCACCTAGCTCGCTTTTCAAATTTCTTACCGTGCTGGAGACGAACGTTTGGCTCTGCATATTGGCTGCCTATTTCTTTACCAGTTTTCTGATGTGGGTCTTTGATCGCTGGAGTCCTTATAGCTATCAGAACAATCGGGAGAAGTACAAGGACGACGAGGAGAAGCGTGAATTCAATTTGAAGGAATGCCTCTGGTTCTGCATGACTTCGCTGACACCCCAAGGCGGCGGTGAGGCGCCCAAGAATCTATCCGGTCGTTTAGTTGCCGCCACCTGGTGGCTTTTTGGGTGGGTTTCAAGACTGCAACAGAGAAAAATTGGAAAACTTTTAATAATTATATCAATTCCCGGCCAGCTTCATCATCATCGCCTCTTACACGGCCAATTTGGCTGCGTTTTTGACTGTGTCCCGCTTGGACACACCTGTTGAGTCCCTAGATGATCTGGCCAAGCAGTACAAGATTCTCTATGCTCCCTTGAATGGTTCTGCGGCAATGACCTATTTCGAACGCATGGCTAATATCGAGCAAATGTTTTACGAAATCTGGAAGGATATGTCGTTAAATGATTCGTTGACGCCACTAGAGCGCTCTAAGCTGGCCGTTTGGGATTATCCGGTGAGCGATAAATATACCAAGATGTGGCAGGCTATGCAGGAGGCGGGTCTGCCGGCCACACTGGACGAGGCAGTGAAGCGTGTGCGCAACTCCTCCACGGCAACGGGCTTTGCATTTTTGGGTGATGCAACGGATATTCGCTACCTGCAATTGACCAATTGTGATCTACAGGTGGTCGGCGAGGAGTTCTCTCGCAAACCCTATGCCATTGCCGTACAGCAAGGCTCTCATCTGAAGGATCAGTTCAATAATGCGTGAGTTAGGATTGACTTACTAGAGAAATTAAAGCTAATCCATGTTTTGTAGAATTTTGACCTTGCTCAATAAGCGTCAGCTGGAGAAGCTTAAGGAAAAGTGGTGGAAGAACGATGAGGCACAGGCCAACTGTGAGAAGCCGGAGGATCAGTCAGATGGCATATCCATTCAGAATATTGGCGGCGTTTTCATTGTCATCTTTGTGGGCATTGGCATGGCCTGCATTACTCTCGTCTTTGAGTACTGGTGGTACAGATATCGCAAGAATCCCCGCATTATCGATGTGGCCGAAGCCAACTCAACTCAACCCAGTCACAAGGATGGCGCCAAGGCAACCGATGGCGTCATATTAGGTCACACGGGCGAGAAGTTCGAGAAATCCAATGCTGCACTGCGTCCGCGCTTCAATCAATTTCCGGCTACATTTAAGCCGCGTTTCTAGAGGACCTATAAACAAACTAACATATATATAATTTATTGCGAAAATCGCATACAAACATTGTCTACGTCGAAAGCAACAATTTTTCACATTTTTATGCACTTTCACTTTAAAATGTCAATTTTTAATAAACTCATATGTCGTAAAAGTATTCATCACCACCAAAATATTTAATTTGAGGTTCAGTTGCAAATATGAATTCAGTTTCAAATATCAGTTGCACTATATAAGTCCGCCTTCATTAACAGCATACTAGTCTTAAGCAACCGTTCGATTTTCTTACTTATTCCCCTGTTAACAGCATGCACTGTAGCCCTGGTTCGATATATAGTTATCGATAGACAATTTTTTCAGACACATCTCTCACACTCAAAAAGGCGGAGAAAAGTGAGAAAATTTGTCAAATTTTTCAATAAACAACATAAAATTTGTAAATAAAGCAAATAAAATACGTGTTGCCCGCGTGTTGTAATAAATAGTTTGTATGCGTCGCTTGAAGAAACTGTCGAAGAGTCACAGCGTGACGGGTACGCAAGAAAATGATGCATCGCCGACGACAGTCACAGCAACAACAACTGCGCCTGATGCGGCGGCCCTGACGGATGCCAATGGAGATGGCGGTAGTGCGAGTAAAGAAACACTACTCAATGCAGATATTTTTAAACATTTTGATAAGTCTGGCCGCAGCGAATTGTACGTAGCTACAAGGCTTTCTGTGATACGAATACTAATATTCTATCTATGCACCTTCCATCTTCTAGCTTGAAATACTTGAAGCTACAGCTGCAGGATAGCCCAGAAAGTCCAGTTTTCGATCGTCATGGTACATTTAAGCGCGGGATCTCAAACGCCATATACGAGCTGCTTTGGCAAGCATTGCGCTTCAAGCTCAAAAAAGATGTCGTGCTACATGTGCTCACAGATGTTGTGGTAAGTTTTGTGTAAGCCAGTTATTTAAGCCACATATCATTAGTTTTATATCATATCTTAGGCACTGCACAAGGAATTTCCTAGTCTTATACTGGACGTGGTCAACATTCTGGATAGTGAGACATCCTTGATGACCGAGGGTTTACAGGAGGAGCGCCATGGATTTGTGCAAATTGTTAAGGATCTGGACAAGGTGTTGCCGGAGAGTTTGCTTAAGGAACGCTTGGAAATTGATACGCTACAGGAAGTGGGAATTGTGAAGAATAAAAGTTTCTACACGAAATTCATCAAAGTCAAGACTAAGCTCTAGTAAGTGCGCCTATAGCTATCGAACTACTCTTTGCAAATTGTGTGCCAGGACTAATCGCTGATAATGTTGATGACACAAGTTGTTGGAGTTGACACTTAAAACTAACAAATGAATGATATATATTCAAACCAAGCTTATAGTTATGCCTTTTTCATAAATAGGAGTATTCTCATTGAGAAGATTCAATTGGCAAGATTCCATTACGACTTTTTATATGTGCTTTTAAGAAGAGGAAATATTTGAGCTCCTCAAAATTTGTTGCTATCCATGATTCTTCAGATCTTTAAAACCAACTGAATATTCCTTTAAACATTCGCAGCTACAAGCAGCGCCGCTTTAATCTCTTTCGTGAGGAGAGCGAAGGATTTGCCAAGCTCATCACTGAAATGAATCAGGACTTTGAAGAGCACACAACACCCGATACCATAATGGATATAATTAAATCCCTAATAGGTGAGCCTAACAGATTTAGAAATTAAAGTTTAAGACTAACGTCATATTTTTCGCTTTTGTAGGCTGCTTTAATCTTGATCCCAATCGTGTGCTGGACATTATCATTGAATCCTTTGAGACGCGTCCTGATCGCTGGAAGCTTTTCATACCTCTTCTGCGTAGCTATATGCCCACCGGCGCCATCATTTGCGAAGTGCTTGGCTACAAATTCTGCCACTTTAAGGCGACGCGCACACCGCGCTCTTTATATCATGTGTGCGCACTGCTGCTCAAACATGGGGTTATTGAGCTGAACGATGTTTATGTCTGGCTAACACCTAACGACGGTAGCATACGTGCACATTGGGACGAGGAGATTGCCGAGGCCAGAGAAATGGTGCGCAAGCTGCATGTGATCTCTACTAACAAGAAGGAGGAGGACAAAGAACCACCACCACCTCCAACGACTAAGAAATTTGATGAGGTAAGTTTCGATAGCATCAACATTTTGTGTCAGTTCTGAAACTATTCTCACATAAACCCAACAGGAGAAGTACAATGCTAATCAAAAGTTTGGACTGTGCGAGGCTCTGCTCAAAGTTGGCGACTGGGACAACGCACTCAAAATTATACAAAAATTGCCAGACCAGTCGGTTGTTGTACAAGATCCAATTGCACGCGCCATTGTGGAGCTGGTACATCTGTCAGTCGAGCAGATTTACTACAAGAAAGTCTTTAAGGCACCAGCCGGTCGGAAGCCCAGCCGTAATCGCTTGTACGATGATGCAGCCCTGGTGGCCAAGATGCAGGCACAGGAGTTTACAGATTTGCGTAAGTACACATGGCCCATGGCCAATGTGCTGGGCCCAGCAATGCACTGCGACACGGTTTTGATGTATAAACTGGTACGCATTATGGGCAAAATATTATTGGACATGGGCGTGGATAGCTTGAATGGCCCACCGCCGAATTCGGAGCAAGAACAGCATTATTACGACATAATCAGCTGCCTGGATGCAGGCATACTGCCCTCGTTGCTTTATTTGGACAGCAATTGTTCCATGTCCGAGGAGATTTGGGCTGTGCTTAAATTCTTTCCGTATCATTTGCGCTACAGCATGTACGCGCGGTGGAAGAACGATAGTTATCAGCTGCATCCGAATCTGATACGACGCTGTGGCCTGGCACAGCGGGACATTAAGGCACTTATGAAGCGCGTCAGCAAGGAGAATGTCAAGCCTCTTGGGCGTTTAGTAGGCAAATATAGCCACTGTACACCTGGTCTGCTCTTCGATTATGTAAGCACATATATTACGAGGTCTGGGGAATGTAATTTTAATCAGAAATCCTCTTTCAGATCCTTGTTCAGATTCAAATATATGACAATTTGATTGGTCCTGTCTGTGACATGCTCAAGTATTTGACTGCTCTATCGTTCGATTGCCTGGGCTATTGTATCATTGAATCGCTTACCATGACGGGTCGCGGTCGCTTTAAGGACGATGGCACCTCACTCTCACTATGGCTGCAAAGCCTTGCTTCCTTCTGTGGCACTATTTACAAAAAGTACAGCATCGAAATGAGCGGCCTGCTTCAGTATGTAGCCAATCAACTGAAGTCGCAGAAGAGTCTTGATTTGCTAGTTCTGCGCGAACTTGTCCATAAAATGGCCGGCGTGGAGTCGTGCGAAGAGATGACCAACGATCAGCTGCAAGCGCTTTGCGGCGGTGAGCAGCTACGTGGCGAGGTAAACTTACGACAATATAGTTGAATATATATATTAATTATCTTTTGATAATATTTTCAGGCGGGCTACTTTAGTCAGGTGCGCAATACAAAGAAGTCGTCGAATCGCTTGAAAGAGGCTTTAGCGAATAACGATCTCGCCGTCACACTTTGCCTGCTGATGGCTCAGCAGAAGCATTGCGTTATCTATCGCGAAACGGCTGCACATAGCCATTTGAAGTTAGTGGGCAGCCTGTATGACCAGTGCCAGGATGCGCTGGTGCAGTTTGGCACATTCTTAGGATCCACCTATTCGGTGGATGAGTACGTCGAACGTTTGCCATCAATAATCACCATGTTGCGGGAATATCATATTAACACCGATGTCGCCTTCTTCCTGGCACGGCCCATGTTCACACACCAGATTAATGTGAGTCAAATTGATATTTTGTTACTATATAACTTAATTTTAATTTAAAATTTATTTTTAGCAAAAATACGATCAATTGCGTAAGGCAGATCCCAATGCCAAAAAGTTGACGACAGCCCAAAAGCTGCAAAAATATTTGGATGCGACGCAGTTGATTATGAATCCCATTGTGGAATCGGTGCGAACGTTGCACAGCGCCAAAGTGTGGGAGGACATAAGTCCTCAATTTCTGGTCACTTTCTGGAGCCTGAGCATGTATGATTTGCATGTGCCCAATGAGATTTATCAACGAGAGATTGGTAAACTGAAGCAGTTGGCGCTGCAGGCTGCCGATGGCAAGGATTCGGTAAAACACAATTATATAGACATAGAAGAAATAATTATTAATAAGTTAATTCTTGCAGAATCAGTCCAAAAACAAAAAGGAACAGGAGCGCTATATTGCGCTCATGGAGAAGCTAAATGATGAGCGCAAGAAACAACATGAGCATGTAGACAAAATACTGCAACGCTTGCAGGAACAAAAAGATGGCTGGTTTCTGTTGCGTTCGGCAAAATCAGCGAAAAATGAAACGATTACACAGTTCCTGCAGCTGTGCCTTTTTGCACGCTGTACTTTCACTGCCCTGGACGCGCTCTACTGTGCCAAGTTCGTTCAGACCATACATAATCTAAAGACAGCCAATTTCTCCACTCTGCTCTGTTACGATCGGGTATGAATATACTTATAGTTGGTTGCTCAGTAAGGTAAAAATTTAAATTTCTATTTAGCTCTTCTGCGACATTACGTACTCTGTCACATCATGCACAGAAGGCGAGGCGACGCGCTACGGTCGCTTTTTGTGCGCCATGTTGGAGACGGTAATGCGCTGGCATGCGGATCAGGCTGTTTTTAACAAGGAGTGTGCCAATTATCCAGGCTTTGTGACCAAATTCCGCGTCAGCAATCAGTTTTCGGAGGCTAACGATCATGTTGGCTATGAAAACTTTCGCCATCTATGCCACAAATGGCACTACAAGATCACTAAAGCAATTGTATTCTGTCTGGATTCTAAGGACTTCATGCAGATACGTAATGCGCTTATCATACTAATGCGCATTCTGCCCCATTATCCGGTGTTATCCAAGCTAGCGCAGATTATCGAACGCAAGGTGGATAAAGTGCGCGAAGAGGAGAAAACAAAACGGCCGGATTTGTTTGCCATTGCCTCCAGCTATATTGGCCAGTTGAAGCTGAAGTCTCCGCATATGTTCAAGGAGAACGACTTCCATCAGGTGGCTGAGCGCCCTGTAAAGGAAGCAGCGCCCACGCCGCCCGGTAACGCCGTGAAGGTTCCGTCCGGCGACAAGGCGAATGCGTCTGCTGCCACAACAACGTCGACACCCACAACGAAAACGGTCAGCAGCTCTCCCTTCTATGATCAAAAGGCAGGAGGAAAGGAGCCAGATGCCAAGGCTGGTAAGTAGCTATAATTTAAGTCTAAATTGTTAGTTGCCTCAATCAATAACTATCCTGCAGCTCAAACAGCACGCGGTGAGGCTAAGCCGAGCAAACCAGAGGGCACTCCATCAACAGTGGTGTCCCTCTCAAAGACAGTTTCAGCTCCATCGAACAGCGAACGCGAGAGCAAACGGGATGCGTCAGCAGCAGCAGTCAGAGAAACCCAATCGCATCGGAGCATGGATGCCAAGGAAGACCAGCAGCAGTCCAATAGCAGCAGTACCCATAATAATATCAGCAACATTACAAGCAGTAACAATAGCAACGGTAATGGTGGCCAAAGCGAACGACGCAGTCGTGAAAGGGATCGGGAACGCGAAGAGCGGCACAGCTTAAGCAGTACGCGTAGCTCACAGCGCGATAGCAATCGCAACAGCAACAAGGAACGTACCGAGGCCGAGTTACAGCAGCGTGCGCGGGAACGTACACAGCGCCTCGAAGAGCTGGAAGCAGCCGCTTTGCGGGCACAGAAACGTGAGAAACTATCACGACGCGATGAACGTAGCCAGCACCGACATGATGGCGTGGAGACGGTGGATCTGGTGTCGGGTAGCGGCAGCAGCAGTCAGAAGCATCGCCACTACGATGACTATGAAGGCCGCCAGCGGGATCGTGATCTGAGTTCGGTGTCCAACGAGAGCAACGGTTCGCTGCAGCATCGACGCAGTCACGAGACAATTGAATACGATAAAGGTAAGTTAAATAAAAAAAATATATAGATATAGATATGCTAAATATATTTTCTTAACAGATTCTAAACGTCGTAAATTGGAATCATCGACAAGCAGTTCAAAGGTTAGTAGCATATGGTTGCATACATAGTACGCTAAGACAACGACCGACCGAACCGCAACCAACGGAGGGCATAACTATAAATAAATACAAAAACAAACAAACAAAACTAAATTTGAGTCCCTGAGAGCATGAGAGAGACGCCTTAAAACACACACATGTTCCACCATCTGGTATAGACGAGAGGTCAGACCAATTTCAACAACCAACCCACCAAAAGCAATATCTACTCTGGACACGATTGGATCTCGTCCTAGTTCACCAAGTGTATTCTCTAAGTATACAATAGATGCATACAATGGGGGTATTAACTCTATAGTCTTAAGGTATATGTAAATATTAAGTTAAGCGCACAGTTCAACTGTTTTGGGAGAAAACATGTTTATGTGTTAAGTATATGAGATTTTAGTAGGACATTATTGTTTAATTTTTAGGAAGTTTTTTGCAAAATAGTCTGTAGCCTCGATTTTAAGCCTTATATATTGATGCAAAATGTTAAGTAGTTTGCGTGTAAGTTAAGATAGTTATATTAAAACAAATGGACCACAACAACAACTACAAAGGACTAGTCAAGCCGATGAAGATAAAAACAAACTCAGGAAGCCAAGCAGAGTCGGTGTATGCTGCAAAATCGCACATTTCTACACAAACAAAGACAACGACGTTTAAAAAACAGTACTACTATAAACATAAAATCATCATTGGACCTACAACATCTTAGACGCACCTTAATTAAATATCGCATGAGACGCTCATATACTCAAGGCCCAAATCGCTGATCACAACAACTTCGCCATTCTAAATAAACGCAGTCTGGAGATAAAATCAAGCAAAACCCATCGAAACCATTTGGATCTAAAGCCATTTGACGTTTTCAACCCGGAAGGCTAAACAAACAGGAGAGGTGGCAGGTTACTTTGTGTAAATTAGATAAATTTCCACAAATTAGTCCTGCTAAGCAGATAGATGACCACAACTTGGCTATGCAGACCTATCCAAACAACGGCAGAAAATCCCAGGATGACAAACACTTCATTCCAAAAACATAAACATTCCGAAGAAGAATCCTTTCATATAAAAAAATTTACCTTACAACACTGCGCGCAATTGAATCAGATGATAACTGAAGTCTTAGCGATCCTTTCAACAAATCAGTTTATGGATCTTCACCAGATAAATCAGCTATATACAAGAAAATCATTCCAAAGCATTTAACCCACGGGTCTTCATCAGGCTGGAGTCTACATCTAAGAACCTGAGATATCTATTTTAAAATAATGGAAAAAATAATTTACTGTTAAAAACCGGCTAACTTCGCATCAAACGGCCCTTGCTCACTACCTATAGTATAACCCATTTCAAAACGTGGAACAGCAGCTAATTCTTCAAAGTAGACCTTAAACTACAATCAGGAAATTTGCAGTTGTGTGACAAAAGAACTAAAGCTATTCAATTCCACAACTTTAAATCGAAAAGGAGTCGTTAGAGAGTCGATTAATCAACAATGAAGAAATCACAAATGCCTTCCAAAAATTGGACCAATTCAGCAGCGGAGAAGTCTTTAAAATCATCCGAAACTAAAAAAAGTCAACCAAACTCTATGGAACAATACAAAAACCTATCTTAACAAAAAAAGCAACACAAATTCTACAAAAAATACAAAATACCAAATGGAACACTATTCCCCCTAGACGATTGTGCGCCCAGCGTTGTCCAACACTGCTCCGACTCTCCAATTCAGCACAATGCCGATTGCAGATTAGTTCTTTATTCGTTGATCTTGATTGTGGGCAGACGGGTAAGTGATCAGCGTGCTGTGGGGCGGACACTCAGGTTAGGGGCGGGGCAGGATTAGCGTGGCAACGGGCGGAGCATTTTGAATGTGCTGTTGGGCTTGGTCTTAATACTTTATTTTGAGTTTTTTTTATTTTCATTGCATGTTCATTACGATTTTCCCAATCCATATTAATCGAATGCCATTACAGAAAGTGGAGGAGCTCGTAGATAGTGTGAAGAAGGCGCGCGGCCTCAAGACCAAAGAGCGCAATAAGGATAAGCTGTCTGACGAGGAGCGTGACGCGCGCAAGGATCGCAAGCTGGGACGGAAACGAGACCGCAACGAAGAGTCTGGTACCAGCGACCATAAGCGTCGGCGCGAAGGTGAGGCATATACAGTGAACCCTCTATTCAGGAAATTCAAGAATATACAATTTTTAGCACAAAACGGCGATGAAGACATCCGCGAACGAGAACGCCATAGAGTAAGTGCTTAAAGCTAGCAAGCAAAATCGATGGCTAACGATAACATTTCCTCCTGTTATCTGCAGGATAAATCATCCCGAGAGCGTTCGCATGATAAATTCGATCGTGAACGTGGTGGCGGAGGAGGTGGCAGCTCGCGAGGAGATGATCGTCAATACAACATCTCAAAGTCGACACGCTCGTCGAGAATGAACTACTGAACGCATGTGAACGCTCGATTTCCCGTATTGTGAAGCGCATTTGATTTAAGAATAAAAACAAATACAATTAACAATAAAACAAAAAATCCATACAATTTTATTTACTATTTTACCGTAAGGAAAAAACAAATTTTGAGAAAGTTTTACAATTTTTTTAGTATCTATTTTAAAAATTAAATAAAATAAACATTGTATAGTTTAAAAAATAATTGTAATTTTAATTATTTAATTTGCTTGAGGAGCACAGTTTAAATACAGCTTGTTCGAGCATGAATGTAAATGAAATTTGGCGGTAATTATGAATATGTTTTGAAGTTCGAATAATCTTTGCCATTCACAGGTATTTTCGAGTTCGATATTGATAAGCCAATTGTTATCTAATAAGTATCGAAATTCTTTATCGATAAGACGCTTCAAATTTAATTTAATGATATTTGGACAATGTTAGCCTTATTTTCGTAACTGATAATTGAAATATATTTTCGAAACATATTAGACGATAATGTGAATTGTGATATCCGCATTTATTTTGTAATCCTTTTTTTCTTCACACAGTTCAAATAACAGCAACCCTGAAGTGCGCTCAACGCCGTTATGAGAATTTTTAGTACATTTTGTTGCAAAGGATATATCGCTAGCAAATGTCCTGTGGCCACACGTGAAGGTGAAGCTCGAGAAAATTTTAGTCTTCAGTGCGTGTTCTAACAAATTGGCAATGGCAATGGCCCGGCGGCAAGACTACTTTAATAAATACACAAATTTTCACAAAAATCACATCAAGTTGTTTGCTGTTTATATGAAAACGGCAAATCTAATGCAAAACTTTAACGTGCTCAAGCGTTCGCTGTAAGCAAAAGGAGGTGGAGGAGGACGGGTGCTGCCGTCGCCTGCACCCACCAATACATAGACAGTAACAGTTAATGGGCGAAGTGTGTGCGTGTGCTAAAAGTTTGTTAGTGTTATTTCAATTATATCAATTATTATGCGATTCGCGGCGTGCGAGCAATAAGCCAAACAAGTGTTTCAATCTCTAAACTTAAAGAACAATACAAATATGACTACAGAAATTTATGAAAATTAAAAAACAAACAAAAATGATGGCCTAACGATAGGCGTGTCTGCTGATAAGTCGCTGTTGCTGCACAATTTAACCAGACAGAAATTGTAAGTAATTATTATTAATTTATTTATATTTATTGAAATATACCTAAATATTAAAAGCTTACATAATTGAATATGTACTATAATTTAGGCACAAGGCACGCGCTGTGTAAACGCTTTTGTATAAGTAAATAATTGCATAATAAACTGTCGACTTTTACATGCCATATCTTTTGACTATATAGCCCGATATTATTATCATTATGCCAATTAACATGCCGATTGCGCTCATTCAGAGCTAACCGAAAAAGGTTCGTCCCTGTGCTGTAAAAAGTAGCTATTACTTTGCTGCTTCCCATGGCCGGGTTGCCCAGGTATAAATGTACCATGTGTTGTACAATTTTCGAGTACTCTATTGTACCTTCTTTGTGTAGAGATAATATATAATTTAATAAACATTTTATTTAGTTAAAAAAGCTTCAACAGAAGTTAAAACTCGTATGTATATGCATTTATTAATATTTTGTTTATACATATAATTTGTTAAAAAGAAAATGATTTTTTGTAATTTTTGGTACATTTGGTACGTTTGGTTATCGCTCTATCTCTCTCCGGTTCGGGGTTTAACTGTTTTTTTTTTTGTTGAGCTCTCCCACGCAATAAATCGCAAACATCTGTTTTTGCAGGCGGCAGCGGCCATTGCGCATGTCACGTGTCAGACGCGCGCCCACGCTAACGGTACCTATGCTAAACAAAAACAAGTTGTCACATCGACTACGCCAACGGCAACGTCAACGCCGACGCCGACGTTTTCTTTTTTTTATTTTTACGTCACATTCGTTGTCGCTGCCATGCGAACTCCCAGCCATAATAACAACAATGGCGACACATAGACGCAGCTGCAAGCGCCGCTCAAAAGTATGCTACGTTTTTGTATGTGTGTGTGTTACAGCATTGCAGTCGAAATGATTGTTGTTGGTATTGCTGATGAGTAAATGATTTTGTGTTTTGTCATACGGACAATGCCATGCGACACACACACACGCATACTCATGCACACTCTTTGTGACTGCAATTCTCGCATTTTCAAACATTTGCTTCGTGCTTTGTTCCCTTTGATCAGTCAGGCTTGGCATGTGTTTATCGATATCTGTTTTAATTATCGAATTGCCTTCTAAGACAATGCCTCTAGCATTGTGTAAGCTTTACTCAACACTGACACTTTGAATGTGTGTATGTATGTGCTTATGTACGCATGTGTGTGTTTGCTTTGTGAGTTTTTTATACCAAAGACAGTATAAGTAAAGGCAATGTAGTTAAAATGTCTGCAAATCTTTAAGATAGATGGGGCAGACAGTATTTGCAACAAATCCTTTTAAGGAATAATAAAAATAAAATTTATTTAGCAATATATTTTTAATAGTGCTTAAACGCCGGGTATTTCTTAGTCGAGTCATCTCCTTGGTAGTTTTGGCAATGGCCAAAGCAATAACTATTGTCTCTTTGTCCCGCCCCAACCAGTGTTTGCCTTTCTATGCCACTGATTTACTAGATGAGTATTGCGTGTTATTCGTCCTTCGAACATGACCATTGCCAAAGTGTAATAAATTTCTTCTGCTCTTCTTCTTCATCATTATCTTATTTGAGGTTGGTATTTTTTGTCATTCATTTACTTTTTTTGCTGGTTTCGGCCTGCGCTTTGAGCAAGTGTTTTTTTATGTTTTAGTCTATTTTGGGCCTTGGTCTTGTTGTCAATGTCCTTGAAGCAACGCCAGCCGCTTACATAACGCGTCGCTTTGTTGCTACTTAGTGTGCAGTGAGGCAGGATTAATACATTTTTTTATTCGTCATATTTATAACGATATCTAGGGAAAGTAGTAGGTTCGGGCCCGCACACTTAACGCTTAAGTCTATTGAACTTGAAGCCTCTTTGTGGTCGTCTTCGCCTGCGTCTTCATTTTTTTTTGTTATCACAACAGGGTTTCCCTCAACAAAAAGTTTTATGCTCTGCAGCTCTGCTCCTGCGGTTGCCTTTATTGGCTGTCTTTTGTGATTTGAAAATGTACTTAAGAAAACTAAACTTTCGTAGGGTTGTTCTCAAATACTTGACAAGAAGCTTCATATTACAAAAGTTTTACTGAAGCAACCTAATGATGTTTTGGTAATAATGATGATGGTGATGTTACAAGGATTTTTTGAATTTAAATTTATTATTCAGTATACCATTATTAAAATTATTTTTTTTAATATTTACTTTTTACTTTAAAGGAGAAAAATTCTTAACTTTTAATTTAAGCTATTCTAATTCTATGACCTGGTAGAAATTTATAATAGGGTCAAGTCGAATTTGATGGCTTCAATCAGTTCATTTCAAATGCAATTTAAAGCACTTTATTCAAGTGGATTTAAATTTCCTTTGATTGTCTCTTCAAATCGCCGAGTAAACACGTAAACACGTAAACAAACGACGCTCGCATCGATATATAGCTCAATATAGAGAGAGAAAGTCGTTAAGGCATGCAATTCATGCAGGATTGCGTCTTGGGTCGCACAGGCGTATGTCCTTTGATTTCAATTATGTGCACTTAGTGCATGCTGTTCAAGTACAAGGATAATGTGCACACACACACACAACAATTTGTGCACATATTGCACATATCTTGCAGATCTGCTGTGCAGTCAGAAGGCGCCAGCAACAAACCCATCGTTATCCTTCAGCCCGCTTGACAACAGGCCAAGTATTCCTCTACTTTTTCTTCTTCTTTTTTTGCGGCTCGTGTCAGTCGATCGATATGGAAATGCCACGAACCTGATATTGAAATATACATATGTACACACAAACAATCGTACATACATATGTGCATATTTTCAATGGCAGGCAACTGGAATCGCATACATTGACAGGCACTGTGTACATTGTAATTACAAGCGAATTACGTTGGGTTTACTCTCCTAGCGCGCTCAGCAAACGCTACACAAAAATCAATTTCAAACTGCAGGTCCGGGGAATTCCTTTTGCGGTTGCTTGTGCACTCAATTACTAATTCCAATTAACAATGAAAATGGTTGAAAAATAAAAAATACCAAAATAAATAGAAGAAACACGTAGGAGTGCTCTAGTCGGCAACGACTATTAGATATCCTGAATCCTGCTCTGATGTGATATTTCAATTATAAATTCGTGCTGCGTATGACCATACAGAAAGATACACTCGGACATGTCTGGGCAAGGCCGGTATCTGCCTGTTACGTAGATTTTCATAAAAATAATATACCCTGAATATCTATTTTCAATGGGTTCAGGGTATCCAAATCATTGTCAATGTATAGCGCATATCAAAATGGACATGAGATAATTGGAAAAAAGTCTTCACTGAGCTTGTACTGAGTGCAATGAATTGTAAGAATTTCAAGCATTTGGAATTTTAATCTATGTTTTGCATGCTTTTTAATTTGTATTTATTTTTTATCAATGAGTGAGATAAAAGTTGAAATTCTTTATTT